TGACTCGGTCAATCACTTGCACGCGACATCGAATGAGATATGCATCAACTACGCGAGGGCGGCTTCTCTGGACAGTGGGGATATGGTGGCGTTGATTGGGAGCAAGTTGTTCAGCTTCGAATTCCTCATGTTCAGGGGCGACGCCACGAACCAAGAGGCAGTCGACAAGGCAAAAGTGTGGACAGGTGAAGCCAGTTACATTGCAACATGCCCAGAGGCGTTGAGCGACATCAGCAGCGACACCAACTTCGACAGTGACGACCTCAAGCTGACATTCTTTTGGGAAGTGCTGGACTTGCAGACAGTTCGGACGGGCGGTGCAAAAGAAACCACAGACTTGGTGACGCGACAGTTTCGCAATGCGGGGCTTCCGACGTGGATGGAGGCCGCATGCCGAGATGGACCTAGCTTTCGGAGTTATCATTTTTGTTTAGATAGCGGACCTGACTGCGTAGGCCTCGTTCGAGCTGCAGTCGCAGCTGTTTCTAACGTCCGTTGGGTGATGATATCTAGTTATTTTTTGCCGCTTCCATCAGAACGCGCTGATCCAGCAGAGCATGGTTGATATCACGAACAATTGGGAATGGCATACGCCCTGGGGATCTTCTTCGTTTCTTTCTGGTTTGAAGGTTATCGCGAACACTCTGAGAGGCACAGGCGCCCCACGGAAAGTCAGAGAAGCAGCTGCCGAGCTCAAGTTCCCACCCAAGGTTGTCAAAGAATCTGTTGGCAACACCATTCATCGGGTTATCGCCGCGCGGTGGGGCCCCGTTGACGACGTCGAGATGTACATGAGGAATGGTCGGCATGTACTTGGACCCGCTGTCAGACGCACGTGGCCGAAGTTCGACGACACAGACGCAGACAAGACAAAGAAGAAGACAAAAAAGCTGGACGGTGAGGGCGCTGAGTGGTACGAGAAACGCCGAAACTACCGCCAGACCACGGTTGCCTTGTTGAATGACAAGTTGTTTTTGGGGACAGCTGAGATCGACCTCGTCGCGAAGGGCCCCCTTGCTCATTTCCAGCGTTGGGCGCAGCAGGAGAGCAAGATTGAGCGAGAACACCGATCGGAAGCATCAAAGCAAGGGACCGCCTACACGGGTCCAACCTTCGTTTCTAAGTTCGTGTCGGGCAAGGCCAAGGTTATCTTAGACGAGTTCAACAGCCCTCCTGGACGACGACGCCATGCTGACGCACTGGGTCGGCACCTGGAGTCTGATTCGAGCTGACGATGTACCAGAACATGTCGAGGAGGTTCGCAACGCCAAAGGAAACTTCACAACAATGAAAATACACCAGTTGGTTTTGAGTTTTCGGTTCGTTTTCGGTGGTCTGATTTCGTTTGGCGTCCGGACCTCCTCGAAGGCATTGTGCTTGATCGTGACCTTGGTGGTGCGTGGCGCTCTTGATTGGGAGCGACGGATGTACGACCCCACGCAGAGGTTCCCACTCGACTTTCTCAACGTCTTGGAGGCGGACCCTGAGGAGGCCTCGGCTCCACGCAAAGCCTTAGCCCATCGGTTGATGACTGCGTCCAAGGAGAACTTAGAGTGGCAGGATGGCGTGTACAACTCCTTCAGCTTCAAGTTACGTGCCATGTTCTATGAAGATTTCGCCATCATGCATGGCACTGGTAAGTGCACGAGGATGGTATGGATATTTCTTTCAGGCTGGCGCGCGCTATTCAATGGCGAGACGCAGGAGATCGAGGGCTGGAACAGTACGTTGAAGAATATGTGCGAACGGGCTCCACGCACTAAAGTGAGACTGGCATCGGATCGCCTCAAGAACAGAGTTGGCGAACGGACTCCCGCCGACGAGGCCGTCGCAGTGCGCAAGAAGGTCGTCGAGTTCTCAAAGACAGATGCGAACACGTTTCGCTTCAGCCCCCTCGCAGACAAGGAGCGCGATGCCAGCGCAGGGCCTCATCCCGATGCTGCCCCTCTTATTGGATCGAGCAATACGTCCGCCACGCACTTCGTCGGTGACCTGCCCGACAATGCCAGAGAAGCACTTCCGATATGTTATAGCATATTTGATGTGACTGACTTGGGAGCCAGGTATGCGTATGTGATTGTCGGCCCAGACGCACCTGATACACGCGCACTTGCTGTAGATCGCAGCGTCGTGTTCTTGGCGGGGACTTCGCACTACAAGACGATGCATTGCGCAACTGGCCACGTGGACGAGCTATGCCATTTTCACTTGCACGTTCCAATTGTCAAACGTACCGCGTGTGCTCTGGTTGGTGAGGCCCTACATGCATTTCACCCTCTTCCAGCTGGGCGGAAGCAGCGTCCTCGCTTGCATCTGGTCCAGTACATGTTGTCGTGGGCGTCGTTGAAGGCCGCCTCGGTGATCGCTGACGCTGCCCAAGTGACGCCGCTGTTCAAGCGGGCCTACAATGGCCCCAAGAAAAGGAATACACACGCAGTCGACGCCGAGGGCGGTTTGCCTGACATGCTTGAGGACGACGACGGCTTCTCTGAGGAGCTTGAACGATTGATTGCCCAGGACGCCATGGAGGAGGAGTGCGAGGACCTCGAGGGCGCCAGCGAGGGCCTCGACAGCGACGGCAAGGATACGGACGTTGAGGACGACGCTGGAGATCGACAGCCTGACCAACATAACCATGCAGGGCCTGATAAAAGCGACGTCGTTGACGCCATCTCTGGCGACCACCGAGCTGAGCTTCTCCGCAACGTGAGGGGCGCATGCGAGGCAAGCCGCACATCTGCTCGGGACGCGATGTACTTCGCTGAGGACTACGGCTTCAGGACTGACATTTCAGATGCTCCAGAGCGGGGCTTGGTCTCGTTGGTTGAATTGCGAACAGTTGCAGAAGATGGTCAAGTTCATTACGATGTTGTCTTTGTTGCTTGGGAGGGTGTTGGCAGGTCTGCAAAAATAGCAAGGGTGGACCTCGAGCACCTGTGGTTCAAGTATAACGTGCCGTTTGCGACTGAGCATCTCAAGAGGGAGTGCGACAGGGACCACTGCAACATCATCATCGGGAACGTGCCTGTCAGGATCACGCGGCCCAAGGACTTGCGCGAGCGTGTGCCTGATTGGTGCTTGCTAATTATGAAGGCCTTCGCGGCCGAACTGTTTTCTGGTCCGATTGCTCGCGACTGCCTCTTCAGTTTCGACGCTCCCTGCGTTTTTTTGTGCGTGCGCAGACACCATGGGCATGGATGTCAGGGTCGTCGGCGGCGGTGGTGCGCAGCCCGTAGAGCACTTTGATTCGTACATTTGTTCCGAGTGCGTTGTGTACTGGCACAGCGCGTGCGCAGAGAACGTGGCACGTGCTTTTGGAATGGGGTCCCCATTCGAAGAGGAGGGCCTTTTCGTTTGCCCCATTTGTCTGAACGAGTGAATGCATTGCCCTGTGGGGTCAGGGTTGAACCATTGGTGCGCACCGCAGGGGATATGTTGGCGCTGCCGCAGGTGTAAGAAAGCCTCGACGTGGCGACTGCGAGGGAGGAGCGTGGGGGGAGGACGGGAGGAGGACAGGGGGGGCGGGGAGGGAGGACAAGATGCCGATGGAACGAGGAAACGCTGCGCCCAAGAGTGCTCGTTGAGGGATATGAGAGGAGGAGTCGAGGAGGAGAAGGTCGGGGTGGGTGGAGGGGAAGGGAGTGAGGGGGGGAGCGCACGGCATCCCGAACAGTGAATTCCATGTCGCGGGGGCCTCCCAAACGCTGTAAGATCAGAAAGGCAACGGCAGTCTGACCCTTGAAAATACCTAGCTCACAGAGGATATTATTGGGAAAATTCTAAGCGTCTTGAGGTGGATGTTGGAATTGTTCTAAGGTGCTTGAGGTGGATGTTAGAATTTTTCTAAGGTACTTGATCGTTATCTATTGTTTCTTATTACGGCCAAGTGACCTTAGAATTTTTCTAAACTCCACATCGGGTCGCTCAGAATTTTTCTAATATCCGCTTCGATTCGCGTTGGATTATTCTGATGTCTACCTTTGATGCTTTAAGGTCTCGTGAGTCTTGGGTCCGCTCTAGACCGACCCCCTGCGGCGCCGCGCAGCGCTGCCGACCCCTCCCTGAAAGCTGCGGGGCGGCCGTTCGGAGGGGTTCGACGACCTCGCGATCCTGGGGGGATGAGGGTCCTGGGGGGGGGGGGGGGGGGAGAGGGTTCGGAGCGCCAGAACAACGGGGGACGGGTGGGGGAGGGAGGGGGGCCCAGAGGGGGGAGGGGGGGGGGGGGGCCAGAGGAGGGGGGGGGGGGGGAGGGGGGCGGGCCGAAAAATCGAAGCGCCAGGGGGGGGGCGGGCGGGGGGGGGGGGCGGGCCGAACAATTCGAAGCGCCAGGGGGGGGGGGGGGAGCGCGGGAGGCGGGAGGGGGGGGCGGGGGGGGGGGGGGGGGCGGCGGGGAGGGAAGGGGGCGGGGGGGAGCGGGGGGAGGGGGCGTGGGGGGGTGGGGAGGGGGGGGAGGGGGAGGGGAGGAGGAGGATTGGGGGGGGGCGCTCCGAAAAATTCCCCCCGCCCCCCCCCCCCCGCCTCCCCCACCCCGCCCCGCCCCCCGTCCGCACCGCCTCTCGGGGCCTCCGCGGTGCCGAGGCCGTAGGGGCCAGGGGGCCGGCAGCCAAAGGCCGGTGGTTCGCGGCAGGGGGTGAGCTCTCAGTGCAAATGTTTGCCCGTCTCTCCGCGCCATTATTTTTTCACCCCCCCCCTTGTGGCGAGACCCTTGGAGGCAGTTTCGCGGCCCTGCTCGACCTTGGCCCTCGTCCTCCGAGCGCTGGCCCTGGAACCCCTGAGATGAGTGGCCTGCGGTGGCCTTCCCATGACGTTCCCTGTCAGCCGTTTCTTGTCCGCTTATCCTATCCCCCCACCCTCCCCCCTCCATTCCCCTGCCTTTGCCAAGTCCTCTGCCCCTTTCTTTCCCCCCCTCTCCTCCCCTGCCATCGTCGCCCACGTTCTCTCTCATATCCAGTCCTTCTTTTGTCCTGCGAACGCTTGCTTCCGCCAGGCTACTCCCAGCGATGGCAGCTGCCAGCTCCCATGGCGACATGGCGCTCGTGCCCAAGGAGCCCGAGCCCAAGATTGCAGACCCGTCCACGTTGTTCCTGAACGATCGTGCGAGGTTTCCGACGATATACGACAGGTTCGTCGGCTACGTGGCGGGTCCCGAGCTCGAGAATCTAGTGTTCAGGCTGCACGCGCGTCAACCCCGATGGCTGCCCCTCGTGCACGAGGGCAAGTTCACCATGACCAGGGACCCTGCCAACAGGAGGTGCCCCGAAGAAAACGGACGCTTAAGGACACACGCACACGGTTAATGATTACTGCGTCCTTAAGCGTTCGTTTTCTTCTTCAGAAACAGAAGCATAGGTACAATATGGCGACAGTCTTGGACAGGTGCAAGTCAGTTGAGACGATTGGCATATGCAAGGTCTGTAAGGGGCCATGGGTAATTCCAGCAGGCGAGAATCAATGGACTGTTCTACACTGGGCGAGCTTGCTTGAAGGTGCCGAGATGGCGATGGAGAAAGATCCCCACAAGAAAAACAGGACGGTTTGGATCGCTCTCGAGGCTGGTTGTGACTCTGCTGTGGAGTTCGACCCGAACTTACCAGACGATGTGAAAGACTACGTCATCGAGCTAGGCAACGCCACCAACGTCAGCACTTTGGTGGTTACGGTGCTCCAGGTGTTCATGTCTACCGAGACGATTCTTTTTGGATGGGCAATCCAGAAGGAAAAGGTAACTGCTACTGGTGACGGTTGTGGCGGGGCGCTTACGCTCTACGCTCGCAGGCATGCCTATGCCAACACTGTATTATCTGGCCGCTGGCGCTCACAGAACGCGCTCGACGTGACGATCAACACCTACAACCTTTTGCAGACAACGATGACATCGGCAGGCATTTCAGTTTGGGATCAGATGGTCTCTTATTTCGAGACAAAGGCTGACTACATGCATGAGTACATGAAGGACACGAACGCGGTCATCCAGAACATCAGTTGCATTTGCAAGGTGCTGTGCTCTACTTATCCCGACTTCGTCGTTCCTGTCATTGCCCTCGTGATCCCGCACCTCGAGTCTGAACCCCTCGGGGCGTGCCCAGCGCTGCCAGATGGCATTCCGCAGGGCAAGTTGCGAAAGCTGTCCGAGGCCATGGTGAGGAACTTACTGGCGAGCATGGCCGACAGCGCGACTATGAAGGCGAAGGTCTCTGCGGGGTGCGCGTGCGCATCGGATGGGGGCAACGACGTGTCTTTCCTGAGTGACGTGATCCAGTTCACCGCGATGCTCAAGCACAAGCTGAACGTCCCCCAGGACTGCCTGAACGCATACTCGTCGATCCTGTGCTTCTGCCAGCTGCAGGGAGAGGTACAAGTTCCAGGGAATGGCAACACCCCAGCGAGGACGATCAGCAGATACACCGCGATGAAGCGCCACATCATCAACGCTGCATTCAAAGCATCTGGCATGGCAAAGAAGCCCAGCGACCTTGAGATCTACTACGCCGACGCAGGGGACGACAGCCAGCTTGCAGAGTCGCCCAGCAAGGCGCCTCTGGAGGAGAAGACTGACGAGACGCTCTTGGACACCTTCAAGACCTTGCAGGACAACGGTTCGGCGGCCCGCATGAAGTCCTACCTGATGGTGAACCCGATCGACAAGCCGATCCAGTTGCACATGGCAGTCTGCGGGATTACGAGCAAGGTCTACACGTCTATGATTGGAGCACGCGGTGGTGCAGAGGGCAAGTCTGGAACTCCAGATAGCCAACGTGAGCTGATCGAAGAGGCCACGAAGCGCGTGGTCACTGCCGTCATGGATGAGATGCCGTTGGCGTTCGACGAGATAGTGATAAACTTTGGACAGTTGTCGGAATTCAAATTTGCTTTGACAGCTGTTTCAACCAGGAGCGACTATGCCGACACGGAGCTTCTGAGGAAGACGTGCGAAGAGATGGGCGTGATCGGGGCCACCGGCCGCAAGAAGCTGAACATGGTCAGGCTGAACACGTTCTTCGCAGTGTGCAGCACGTTATCTACGATGCAGGCCCCCCTCAACGGCACTCCGAAATGCATGTTTGGCTTGCTGTCTGCGCAGGACGTCTTCAAGAAGATCGCGGAGTCCATCGAGAGCCAGCGGCGCGGAGCGCAGGAGCCCATCGATATCAAGATCATCACCAAGGCCATCGACGGCGACGTGTCCATGGCTGTCTTCGGCGACTGTTTCAGCAAGGCTGCCAGTGCCATATATATGTCACCACAACCACGTTAGCCAGCCCCCTCCTGAGGAGGAGGCCAGCTGACGTGGAAGATGTGGCATATATCTGGAGGCGTTTGCTGAACTGGTGGCGACGGTGAACAAGGTTTGCCCGACCAAGGCGAAGGCGCATCGCACGCTCGTCGCGGGCCTGAGGGGGAAGCTGCAGGGCTTCACTCATACGCAGATGAAGGAGTTCGTCGTGTCGCAGGGCTTGCAGAATATCGAGGTGCCGCCATCCATGGGAATCTTCTCGTCTGTGAAAGCTGCGCTGGTAGAGGATGTCATGACTGCGGTTCAAAAGAAGTGCGCCGACACGACCTTGGCAGCCACGATCCTCGTCGGCAACGTTGGCGACAAGGTGGCGATCCTGCGCGACCAGCTGGCCAAGGCAAGCGCCACCGCTACAACTGCGGCGGCAACAGCGGCGGTCGTGGCACCGACTGCGGGGCAGACGGCTACTCCAACCAAGACTGCCAAGGAACCAGCCCCCATCGCCGTCGACGACGGCAAAGGCATTCCCCAGGGCGACTTCAACCTGACCAGCCTGGGGGTCACGCAGTGGATCAGCATGCTCACCGATGAGGACCGCTCGAAACTAACATACAATATTAATGACACCAGCTTCCTTCTCGCCCTCACTTCTTCTCCCCGCCGTTCCTCCCAAATTCGAGAGGGGCTGAAATCCAACGGGCCCGACCACCTTGCCATGGCCAGCGCGACGAAAGCGCGGGTGATCGCCTCTGTGCAGGGCCATTTCATGCCACCCGCTGACGGACTGCAAGGCCGCTTTCTCCGCGACGCGCTGATTGACTTTTCCAGGAAGAAGAGCGTGGGGACCTTGACAGCTCGTCTGGCGGCAGACGCAACGACCACGGAGGCTCCCGAGTTCGTTTGTTGGGGCAGGGTGGTAGATGCGATCGCTGCGATGAGCCTTCCGCGTGGCACTCTGCTTCCACTGGGGACAAGCAACGGTTTGAGTTTGTTCCTGGATGGCTCGAAGCTCCTCAACCCTTTGGTTTCAGACGCATGCATCGCATGGATGCTCCCAATGATCAAGGACGACGTGGACGGTGAGACCAACGCCGATGCTGCCCCCTTGGTGGACAGCGCGGCCAACCCTGAGGCTGGTGCATGCGCAGCTGGCAGCAGCAGCGGTGCCCAGCCGCCCAGCAAGAAGCGCAAGGGCGCCTCCGCTGCCAAGGCGCAGCAGGCGCAGCAGGCAGCACCCTCAGCAAAACCACAGCCGAAGAAGGCTGGCAATCGCAAGAAGCTTTCTCACACGCACTTTGTCGAATTCGAGACCGTGCAATTTGATGTCGACGTCGGCTCGACTGCCAAGGTTTTCACTTTCGAGAGGCCTTTCTTGAAATCCAACCGTCCCCTCAAAGCAGGCGAGACTCTTCGTCGCAAAGCCTTCGAGTGGACGGAGGCCAACTCCCCAGGCGAGGTTGTCTCGGGCAGGACTGCGTCGGCGCGGATTTTTGGCATGTCGTGAGCTTTGACGCTGCTTTGGGGGAGGGCGGAAGGAGAAGCATGAGAGATAGGAGAACAGGGGAACGTGGGAGGAGGATAGGGGGAATACAGACGCAGGAATAGCTCAACGATGTGAAGTTTCGTCATAGCAATCGCCAGCGCACAGAGCGCACTGTACACCATCACTTCGTTTTGGCATTTTGTTTCGTTGATTGGTCCTCTTTAAGAATGTATCTTTCGCTCGTCCAGGGCACTCGGGCACCAGGCATGTGGGTTGTAGGCCTTGGTGCGCCCTCGACTTGAGCGAGGCAATGCACGAGTGCATTGCCGCGGGGTGGTGCAACCAAATGCACCGCCCTCCAGCCCGACACGTGCCGAGAGAGAGCCGATGTGGAGCGTTCGCAAGAAAATCACAAGGCTGTTCGACGTCAAAGTTAGGGCCCCGAGGCTTCGAAATCCATACTGTTCGGTGCCAAGGGCTTTTGTTTTCGGTGCGCGTTCACGACCAGAGCCCTCGGGGTCACGTGAACTTAGCCGCTGGGTGCAACCAATATCCTCCACCTCCCCCCTCCGTCCTCCTCCTCCCTTCTCAATTTCCGCTCGCTTCTCATCGTCCCCCCCCAGCGAACCTAACATATATTAGTTTCCTTCACCTTCTGTCCAACACCACAATAAAGAAATCATAATGTAGATGAAACACACGCCCTAACTTTTTTTTGCATGCTGAACCGCCCAAGCGAGAGGATAAAGACACCCCAATCATCATCATCATCATCATCATCATCATCATCATCATCATCATCATCATCATCATCATCATCATCATCATCATGACAATCAGCACCATCACCATCAACAACATCATCTACAACAACATCATCAACATCCTCATCGCCATTCCCACCACTCACCATCGTCAAGAACAATAACATCATCATTCTCAGCATCAACATCAACATCAACATCATCATCATCACCATCATCAGCATCAACATCATCATCATCATCATCACCATCATCAGCATCATCATCATCACCATCATCAACATCATCAACATCATGAACAGCCGTTCACTTGACAGTCGCGGGTCCCGTGGAGGGCTCCCCTATCCTCTACCAGGCGCAGGAGCCGCCTGCCGCGTGGGCGGAGCAGGCCAGCCGTGCCCCTGGATACCGCGGGCGCCCGCCCGTCCGCCGGACACGAGGCGATCTCTGCGAGCTGGTGCCCGCCTCCCACCGCCACCAGGGACGAGCGGCGCCTCCAAGAGCCGGGCGTCGCGGCCGGCACTTGGCACCCCAGCGCGACGCGGCGATCCGCTGCCGCCCGTCGACTCGGGGGTGGATAGGTCCCCCGTTGGTAAAACGCCCTTTCCTGTGGAAGCTGCCAGGGGCACTACACGTGCGCACGGCACCGCATTCCGAATGCACCCCAGCGGGGTAGCTGCAATGGACGGTCAAAAGCAACCAAAGGTGTCCGGCGAACCGCATTTCGATGAGCGAAATCGACTGGGGACTGCACTGGTACACTGGGACACTGGACTGCCAGTGTCGAATGAGCCCGCGTAGATTTCATCAGTCGACTTGTCTGGGCGTGCGTTCTCTCACCTCAACGCTAGGTCGGGCCTGTCCCCAATGCTCAAACATGAATTCAAAACATCGACCCCAGAATATCTTTTGAATATTTTGGAATATTCCTCATGTAGAAAAACCCGCTCGACCTAACCTCAATGCCCAATCGACGGGCGGGCGCAGCGGCGGCGTCCGGGCGCAGGGCAGGGAGGCACTCCGAGGCCACGTGGGCGGCCGGCGGACCTGTCTGCCAGCGTCTGCGCGGACGGCGCCGGGCCGCGGGGGCCTCGGGCGCAGACCCCCAAGAAATGTTCAAAAGTAGCAAACAAAAGGAAATCGTCCCCTGGGCACTCCTGCTGTAGAGGGATATGTCCGACTTAACCCTTGTTCGGGCGTTGGCAAAAATAGGTTTAGTGGGACCTGGTTTGGTGGTGTGCGCTGGGGAACGCCCCCCCGCCCCGTTCCACTAACCGGAACTGCCGTCACCCGAAAAAACACCAGCTACGGCAGACCTGGTTTAGTGATTCTGGCCAATTTAGGGGCTCCAGGGCCCTACCAATAACTGGGTCCAGAAAAAAAAACATAAACGCAAACTTTTGGCGCTCCGCGCGGATTTCTTGGATCCGCGCCAGACCCCCCGCCCTGGCGCGCGGAGCGCGCCAGGGGCGGCGCCGAAGGCGCCGCCAGGTGGGCCCAGCACGGATCCAAGAAATCCGCGCGGAGCGCCACAAGTTTATGCTTATGTGGGTGTTTGTTCTTCTTCGATCTACACGAGACGTGTGCGCGACGCCAGCGCTTGCTGCTGCAAGGGCACCATCATCATCAACAGCATCAGCAGCATCATCAAACTCATAATCATAATCATCATCATCATCATCATCATCATCAGCATCATCATCATCATCATCATCATCATCATCATCATCATCATCATCATCGTCATCATCATCATCATCATCATCATCATCATCACCACCATCATCATCATAGGCATCACCATCACCATCACCATCACCATCACCATCCTCATCCTCATCATCAGCAACATCAGCAGCACCATCATCATCAGCAGCAGCATCATCATCATCCTCATCGAGCCCGCCGGCGGGCCCCGGCCCCGAGCCCTCGGCGGTCCCCCGCGGACCGACGCGCTGCCGCCGCCGAGGCCTCCGCCTCGAGGATCTGAGGACGAGGAGGAGGAGAAGAGGGGGGGGAGGATGAGTGAGGAGGGGGAGGAGGAGGAGGAGGAGGAGGAGGAGGAGGAGGAGGAGGAGGAGGAGGGTGAGGAGGAGGGTGAGGAGGAGGAGGAGGAGGAGAAGAAGGGAGGAGGGAGGAGGGAGGACGGAGAGAGGAGGAGGAGGAGGAGGAGGAGGGAGGAGGGGGGGAGGGCAAGTTAGGTGCGCTCGCGTCAACATCTGACATCCTACCCCTCCCTCCCATCCCTTACCATGGCGCTGATTTTCTCTATCCGCGGACGCGTGTCGTAGCGGACCTGTGGCTCCGCGCGCGTGTGCGTAGTGGGTGGTGGTGCGCGTGCGTGCGTGCGTGTGTGCGTGGTTGTGGTTGTTGTGGTGGTGGTGTGTATGTGTGTGTGTGTGCGTGTGTGCGCGTGTGCTGTGGTGTGACGTGGTGTGGCGTCTTGGTGGTTTGGTGGTGGGCCAGGTGCGTACGTGCGTGATGGCGGTGGTGGTGGTGGTGGCGGTGGTGGTGTGTGTGTGTGTGTGTGTGTGTGCGTGTGTGTGTGTGTGTGTGTGTGTGTGTGTGTGTGTGTGCGTGTGTGTGTGTGTTGTGTGCGTGCGCGTGCGTGCGTGCGTGCGTGCGTGCGTGCGTGCGTGCGTGCGTGCGTGCGTGCGTGCGTGTGCGTGTGCGTGTGCGTGTGCGTGTGCGTGTGCGTGTGCGTGTGCGTGCGTACGTGTGTGTCTGTGTGTGCGCGCGTGTGATGTGGTGTGACGCGGTGTAGCGTGGTGGTGGTGGGTGGGGTAGTGCGGTGGTGGTGGCGGTGCGCGGTGGTGGTGCGCGTGCGTGCGTGCGTGCGTTGGTGGGTGAACGCCATCCTGAACGACGGAGGCAAAACACCGATCCGAAAATGAGGCCCACGCTGCAGCGGGAGCACGATTCGGAACGATTCGGGAGCAGAAATGAGGCCGGCGCCTCAGCGAGAGCAGCAATTTGAAAAAAAACGCAGGCGAAAGCCCAACTCCCGGGAATCCTGTGTGTAAAAAAACAGTACGCGGGGGGGGGGTCGAATATTCCCAGCACGCCATCAGGGGAAGAGGGAGAGTAGTATTCATATTGAGTAATTGTGGAGGGGGAGGAGGGGAGGGGGAGGAGGGGGAGGAGGGGAGGAGGGGGAGGAGGGGGAGGAGGAGGGGGAGGAGGAGGGGGGAGGAGAACGAGTCAGAAGGAGGAGGAGGCGGAGGTGGAGGCGGAGGAGGCCGTCGCTGCCACCGCACGCCACCGCCGCCGCTCTCGCCGCAGAGGGGGGCGAGGGTGGCCTCGGCCGCGCGAGGTGGCGGCCGCCGCGCAGGCGAGGGCCGCGGCGCTCAGCGCGCTGGACTGCAGGGAGCGGGGCGGGGACCAGGCGGGCGGCAGGCAGCGGAAGGCCAGCAGGACGGCGAGGTACAGCACGAAGGCGGTCCTGCGCAGAGAGGTCTGCCGCAGGCCCGCTTCGAGGATCGAGCATCCAGGGGAGGGCATCGCGGGGGGGGGGGGAGTGCAGAGAGCGAGGAGAGGGGCCTCCCGCTCTGGAGCATCCGGGGGGCCGAAGGAAGGCCTCCCCCCTCTTCCTCTGACAACCCTACCTATGTCCTCAGTTTTGGCGGGCCGTGCGCGAAGGATACCTCCCTGAATATATCAACAAAGAGCCCCTGCCGCCGCAAAACTCCGAGGACATCTCAGTGAGACCTCGCCGCCAGAGTACCCCAGTGGACGCTTCCCATCTTCCATCCCTCCCCGCCGACCCCGTCCCCTTGGGTTCCCTCCTTCACCCCCCCTCGACCCCCGACCTCCCCGTCCCCTCCTCTTCCCCTCCCCACCCAAACCTCCAACGGCGTGATTTCAGAACGCGGCGTGGGTGGGCCCTCTCCCCGACCAGCTCGGCCTCAACTATCACCGCGGGCTGGCCAACCCTCTCCCAGACCTCCTATTCCACTCCCCTTTTTACCCCGACCTCCAAAGGCGTGCTCCTTCAGGCAATGGATATGTTCGCCGTCTTTGGCACGCCTCAACGGGCCCCTGCGACCGTCAGAAGACGACTCGGGACTCGGGACGAAAACCCAGAGAGTCGATCTATAGCTGTTTTTTTTGTCTCTCCCCACCCATACTGTGGTGTTCGGCCCTCGTTTTGACAAGACAACGCCCCGCGTGCTCTCTCTCCTATCATCTCCTCTCATCCTCCCCCTCCTCCCTCCTTCCACCCTTGCCTTTGACCTGCGCGTGTTCATTTTGGCACAC